ATTCAGTGTGAGTCATGGTAGAGGTCATGCTGAAAGGACAATTATCATGAAACCAGAAGAACGAAGGAGAGATACTATGCTCGAAGAGACTTGAAGTCAAGACACTGATCAAGAACAGAATCAGCCACAAAATCATGCACACCTAAACTGGTTTGTGATTTTTGAAGTTCCCAATCAACCTTGTGTCATAGTCATAATTCACACAACAGAAAGTGCATGCGGACCACGCTCCCACAACCACCAGACGCGGGCTCACAGGATATGGCCATGCTACAACAACGGACGTCGAGGGCCCACCTCCTTGAGACAAGGAACAATTCTGTTGTGGTGAATATGCCGGATCAAGTATGTCTCAAAACTCTTGCACTTGAGAAGGTTCTAGAGAAAACAGGTAAAGAATGGATAATTCACAAAAATGGGTGTTTTGATCTAATGTGTTAAGAGTCCCACATCGGACAATATATAACATGAACATGTGTTTATAAGTGAGGACAATCCTCACTCTACCAACCAATTTTGTAGGGTTGAGTAAGGCCCAACCACATTTTTTAACATGGTATTAGAGTCTCGTTTAAGATCCGGTGGACCACCTTCTATGGTTTCCGCTATTGGGCCACCCACCATTTACTTTCACGCTTCAGTTGTCTAGTCCTGAGCGTGAGGGCGTGTTAAGAGTCCCACATCGGACAATATATGGCATGAACATGTGTTTATAAGGTGGAGACAATCCTCATTCTACCAACCGATTTTGTAGGGTTGAATTAAGTCCAACCACATTTCTTAACATAATGCATCATAGCTCAAATGGATCTGGTATTTAGGTATAAGCCCATAATGAAGAAGGGTTGTAAATCTGTCTATTAAAGCTAAGTGTTGAACTAATGGGCCAAGATTGAGATGGTGTTAGTTGGTTTAAGTGTTGAACTAATGGGCCAAGATTGAGATGGTGTTAGTTGGTTGAGGGAGGCTTTTTAAGCTTGGGCAGATATAGATGTACAAGAGTTAACCCAAGAAGGAAGAAGTAAAGGGATGCAAGGCCTAATGCCTATGGCGGCTACGGCTTCACCAACAACCTAACCTCTCCCACAAAGGACTCACAGTACTATCATCCACACTACTCCTTCTGGTCTCAAATTTAACAAAACTTTTATACCCAGGCGACCCCACTTTTCAACATTTATGTCAGTTGACCTCGGCACTTCCATCACAAAGTGTCCATTTATATTCCAACAGCAATGGACTGCACTGATCTTGTGCCATGCATGCCGGGGGTCCAGCTGTGGTATTGTTCTGATACAAGTGGAAGCAACCATGCGGCAGAAAGTATATATCAGCCAAGTTGTGTGTGTTTACTAGAAAGAGTTATGTGGCGGATTGGATTCTAGAAAAAGAGGAAATAGTAATAAGGACTTTTGCAAGGTGGGTCTAATTCTAAATATTATGGACCAACAAAGATTCCATGTCCAAATGATTGATAGAAAGAATACCAACAATTTTCTTGCAAAGGAATTTTAAGCTCTCATGATCCAACTGTGTAGCATTCTCCAATCTGGTTCATGTATTAAAAAGAAACCAAAGGTTTCTTTCAGTTTTCAATGTTGGGTTGATTCTTCTACTCCTTGAATACGAGTTAGATATCTGATACAATGGGGATGTCATTTTTTCAATGCAGGAGATAGTTTTGCCATAGTAGCAGCTTCTCTAATTGCAATTGTAGTGTCAAGTCAACTGAGACACTTGTTGCTGCATCAAAATTTAGTAGTGGTCCAGAGGAAGGCACAGAGACACTTTTGGGTATTATTGGCACATGTGTTGCAAGTCAGAGTCTTTCAAACAGAAATTGGATTAATGTTTTTCCTCATTATATTAGCTATAGGACAGTGTTCAATTTTTCCCTCTTTGACGGCTTATTTGTTCCACAACATCTCCAAGACTATATGTTGTTATCCAAGCATGGACCTATTGCCATTGCCACCTGTGCATTCAACAGTATAAGGCAAGTGATTTACTCATTCCATCAATCATGGCAATTGTATTTCTTATTCCTTGGGTCTCACTATGGGTTTTCCAGTTGGTAAGCTTTAAACAATAATAGTTGAAGATTATGAAGTGAAAACACCAGCTGACAGAGTTGTGGGAGTTCAGCTGAGGCATAGCTCTGTGTTCACCTTTTTGAAAGCTCAAATAAGAAAGGAAGCCACTTGTGGGAACATATTTTATCAAGCAGCCAAAACCTCCTTTCTTCCTTGAGGATTGGGAAGTGGCAGCAGCTATTAAAGATCAGCTCTCTTTTCGTTTGCCTCAAGGTTGGGGAAGTGGCAGCAGCTATTAAATTAAAGATCCGTATCTACAACCAAAGGCCCCATTTCTCAGAGGCCCACTTAAGTGAGAAATCTGGAAATGCGGGAGAATTAGTTATGTGAGAGATAGAGGTGACAATTAAATCCATTAAGGCAAAATCCATCCAATCCATCCATCAAAAAATCCATCCAATCCATCCACCACACAAAAAATAAGTTAATGGATTGGATTAAATCCATCCATTTATATGCATGGATGGATTCAATCCATCCATTTATATGCATGGATTGATTCAATCCATCCAACATATTTTAAGGATCCAATGGATTATTTTTATTTTCGTTAGATTTATTTTTTTAAATTAGATTTTTTTAAAAATAATTAAAAAACTATATTTTTTTTCTGAAAAAAAAATTTAATTTTTTTGAAAAAAAATCTGTTTTTTTTTCAGAACAAAAAACTGATTTGTTTTTCGAAAAAAAAATCAATTTTTTTTTGGAAAAAAATCAGTTTTTTTTTCAGAATAAAAAACTGATTTGTTTTTCGAAAAAAAAAACCGACTTTTTTTTTGGAAAAAAATCGGTTTTTTTCAGAATAAAAAACTGATCTGTTTTTCGAAAAAAAAACCGACTTTTTTTTTGGAAAAAAAATAATTTTTTTTTTCTGAAAAAAATCGGTTTTTTTTTCAGAATAAAAAACTGATTTGTTTTTCAAAAAAAAAACCGACTTTTTTTTTGGAAAAAAAATCAAATTTTTTTTCTGAAAAATCGGTTTTTTTTTTTCAGAATAAAAAACTGATTTGTTTTTCGAAAAAAAATAAAAAATTTTCTCGAACAAAAAACCGACTTTATTTTTTGGAAAAAAAATCAGTTTTTTTTTCAGAATAAAAAACTGATTTGTTTTTGAAAAAAAAAAGTATTTATTTTTACGAAATTAAAAAAAAAGTTGGATGGATGGATATCCATCCATTAAAAATATGTTAATGGATGGATTGGATGGATTTTATTCTTAATGGATGGATCGGATTGGATAATTTTAATAAAATTTTAGTGGATTTTAATGGACTAATGGATTGTTTTAATCCATCCATTAGCAATCCAATTCATATCCATCCAATCCATCCATTTTGCCACCCCTAGTGAGAGAGAAAGCCAGTTGAATTGGTTATATAGGATGAAGGATAGAATAATGGAGTATTCAGTCTCTTTTATCTTAGGAACCTTGTGGTTTGGGCAGAGTGAGAATTATCTGATCTCTCAGGAACTAGGCTCTGGGATTGCAGGGGATTTTTCTGTAATAGTTCTCACCTTTTTAATTAATAATAAATCTCTGTATCGTCATGAATTTGGGTTCCTATCAGAAAACTCAGAGGAATTAAGTTCCGACAGGACACTACTCTGAATTTTATTAAGTATAGAGCTTGTTTTACATGCTGTAACACATAAAGCTTAAAAACATAACTAAATAACAAAAATATGAAGTTTAATGGAAATAACTGGAAGTTCGAGTCCTTATAGAAGAATTTAGATTCTGAAATCTTTTAAATGAAAAGAAAACCGAAAAAAAAATTACTTAAAAGGACCCCCTAGTACTACTACCATCCAGCTTTAGGCTATCATACCCCTCTGTCCCTTGTTACCTTATTTCCTTCTTACCTTTCCCTTCTTCCCCCAAACCATATCACCCCATCCACTCATGCTGTTGATTTCCCATGTTCAATCTTCCCTAACTCGGCTTCCCTTCACCTAGTTATGCATCCCAATCGTCCCATTATCATTTTTGCAATTTCTTATGGAACTTACTTTCCTACCCATCCTTTTATAAATTATAATCTTCCCCCTTTTTGTAACTACCTCTATGTAAGCATTGCTCCAAGTGGTCGTGGCAACAGTGAACAGTATGGGCAACAGTGGTGTTGATGGTTGCGGTACCAAGCAGTAGCAGAGGCAATGGAAGGTGCCCGATTGAATGACATTGGTGGAGGGTGCCTAGCTGCAGAGGTGGTGAAGGAGTGATGGTTGAGGGTATGTACCAAGCAACATAGGCAATGTAGGATGCTCAATAGCAACAACAACGGTGAAGAGTTTCAAGCTATGATGGTAGAGGGTATCAGGCAGCAGCCCTGGCAGTAGTGATAGACTAAAGGATTCTTAACAGCAGCAGCAAGTGCCAAGAAAAAAAGGAAATAACAGAAGGTGTTCAAAACTGGTGATGGTGGTGGTGCTGCTGTGCAGCAGTTACAGTAGTGGAGGTTACCTGAAAGCAATATGTTGGTGTTTGGCAGTAGCAACAATTGAAGGTGCCTAACAGTGGCAATGATATAGGGAGGTGGAGGGTAGTTTTGGATTTCTACACATTTTAGTCAGTATACTTAAAATATTCAAATTCATTTGTCTCCTTCCAAATCCTTCTAGTATTACAGGGTAGCCAAAAATTAAGGAAAAGACATTTGGCGACCTCCACTTCCCTCCCCTTAGGCTTCCAGTTTCCCTGAACCAAATACTATGGCACATTTCAATCAGATGCCTATCACTCTACAAGTCTATATAACATACATATCTACTCTCAATCATTTCAACGTGCCAATGGATTTTACAAATATTGCGCATAAGCAAAAAATTATCAAGCAATAGGATATGAATATATATAAATGTTATGGAAGAAAGCACTCACATCCGGTCCAGCAAATTTTATGTGAACTACAGCTCGCTGTAATTGCGCCATACAGCACGAAACTCTTCACGGAATGTGTTTAGACGTGCTTTCAGGTTAGGTGTTCTAAAGCTTGCATGCAGGATGGTAGCTGAAGAAGCGAGAAAAACCAACTTAAAAACAAGAATAAAAAGGCTAAACAATATTAAGATTAAATTTCTCAAAATGCAATTACCAAGAAGACCGATAGCAAGCGCCCATAAAACAGTCAGGAGACCAGCCGAAACAAACCAAAGAAAGAAACTTGCTGCAAAAAGGGGGTAAAAGGAGAATTGATGTCAAAAAATGGAAAAGTATCAAACATCTGGCAAACATCCAAAAAATTTGATATGGCGAAAAAGAATTAATGAGAAAAACTATAACTGTTTCAGACTCATTTACCAGAAGAAAATATCAAGACGAACACCCAACGAGGCCGGCCACAAATATAGATTGCTCTCTTAGCTGATGGACGTCCACGAATAACAGGCCTGGAATTTAAAAAATTACTAAAGATACAGAAAATCCAAAGATCCACAAACATAATGAAGTAAAACAGACTTACGTAAGCGGAGGTCTCATTTTGGCAGCTAAATGAGGTGAAAATTGCCTAACTGTTCTTGTCACCTTCTCACTAAAGGTACCTGCAAAGCTGCACAAAGAAACCAATTAGATTGATGTGGAATAAATATAGAAATTCAGCATTTCTATCGATTATAATAAAACTGAAACAGATTCGAAAACTAAATGAAGACTTTGTATATCAAATCTTGGCATACTCATCAACTCCCTGGACTTTATAAATTGTCTATAGAACTGGAAAAATATAAATATAATTGTCTATAGAACTGGAAAAATATAATTGTCTAATAGCCCAAGTCATCGGAGTATAACTTTTAGGCAGGAAAAATATAATTGTCTAATAGCCCAAGTCATCAGAGTATAACTTTTAGGCAGCTAATTATATTCAGCAGCTGTGTCATAACCTGTTGGAGTTCTTTTGTCCTCTTTTTAGTAACCATGATAATATCACAGCCATGTATAAATGATTTCAAATAAAGAAAATATTCTACGTTCAGTGCATTAAATGAACACAATATTCCTTAAAAAGTTACTGTTTTCTGTTTTCAGTGCATTGAATAGACATATTTTTTTTAAAAACTTGTCTTTTTAATATATTAAAGAATGCTCAACTTACCTTTTTAATCTCTTAAAGAGTGCCCCTGGGGCACTCGTTAGCATTTCCCATACTTAATAATAAGAGAACATCAATACCCTCTATATCAAAGTCAAGAGTATTAACGCAGTTGGTTCCAGTAGACATATGTAGAACATAATCTAAAATACTGAAGTCGAAATGCCTAAACTTGATCAAAACCTTTCATTTTCCATCATAAGTACCTTTCCCGTATTCTAGACTAAAATGTATTTGTTTGTTTATTTTTGTTCATCCCTTTAAGAGATTAAAAACTTGTATCAAGGTAAAAATACTATGTTGACGAGTTTTTAAATAAAACAAGTTGTTATCCTGCTACAAAGCTGACAGTAAAACTAAACTACAATGTGATTCATCATTTTAGTTTCATGACAGGATTCATTATAGGGTTTGGTCCTACAATTATAGTAAATCTATATCATCTACAAAACCAAACCATACACACCTTTTTCTAAGTTATCTAAGAAGCCTGTTTAAGCATAAAGTTACACTATGCACAAATCATATAGTACTTGGCATTCTGCTAAAGGCAGCACAACACTTTCTTAACACGGAAACCCCCACAAAATATGACATGTGAACTGATGACACAAACCTATGAATTAAAAAGAATAACTTAACAAAATAAATTGGGGAGAACCTTTATCCATCCTCACATTTCTAAAAACCCACACATGACTCTCGAAAGTACACATCCAGACAGAACAAAAACTGCTTTAGGCAGGATGTACACGTCCAGACAGCACAAAACCTCCGTGTTTTTCCAGATGTGTACATCCAAAGTGCTTTTGGGGTGAGTAAAGTTCCTCCTTATTCCTTTAAAAGTTGAAGCATAAATCAGCTTTGTTGCACATGAAAACAAATCAGATTAACTTCACAAAAACTGGCATCCAATTTCTACAGTTTGTAACTGATGTAAAACATGTATGCTTAAATAGCACAAAGAACAACACCTTCAGACCAAGATATATGTTAAAACAACATCAACCAAGCCTTATCGCACTCGGCTGCATGGATCAAATAATATAAAATATAATATATAGACAGACAGTAAATAACACACTAAAACTGCTTACCTATCATTTAGAAAGGCAATGCTTAGTGCTGTAAGAAGCGCAGCCACAATAGCAAGCGGCCTCCGAAGAAACCCCAATACTGCAAAATTCAACGTGTAGATAATTAGACTATAAGGCAAAACACAGCAAAAAAACATGAAAACACAAAAAATAAAATCTGAATAAATAAATTCTACACATCATGCTCACTTACTGAGAACAGAAACAATCAAAATGAAGTAGTTGGTCCTGTAGCTGCAAATACAATCATAACCATAGTTACTTTCCAACCCTAAAACTTAACTACAGTTAATAACTTGACAATTCAGAAGACAATAACAAGTAATTTCCCAAATACTACATAATTAATATTTTATCATAGAATCATCTATACAAAATAAAATGAAACAAATCCATTTTCCGTTATAACAGATATACACAGTGAAAGGAAAATCGTAAAAGCTCAAAATAAGTTCATCATCATACAAAAATCAGTAAAACAAAGTACATGCAAAAACCTAAATAACAAAGCGATTCAAATTGATTCAAATTTGATAAGCAAAAGTGAAAAACGAGAACGGAAGGGGGGTTGGTACTAGTAGAGATTGCATTTGAGACGGCTGTTCCATTTGGAGGAAGATCTCGGAACGGTGAATCGGGAGAAGAATTCGGAGAGAGGACGCGGCGGCGATGACCAATCAACTTCGCGGAGAGCGTCGACGAGATCTTCGGCGGTAACGTTTCCCCAATCCATTGATTTCGGAGAGAAACTTCGATGGAGTGGTGATTGAAAATGGAAGAAAGGAATATGAAGTGAAAGGGTGAAATTGGAAAGGAAAGAAGAAAGTGAACAACAAGTGAAAGTGAAGAAAAGGGAAATGAAAGTGTTGTTTGCGTTTTGTATCTGACTTTTCTTCTTAAGGAAAAGGGTAAAATGGTAAAAATAAAAATTGATGCTAATACATACTACTTGTCTGAGCCCGGGTTCGAACCGGGGACCTCTAGTGTGTGAGACTAGCGTGATAACCGACTACACCACCCAGACACTAATCAACTGATGAAATTATTCTGGTTATTTAAAATAAAATACTATTTCATATTTATTCAACTAACAATTGTTTTTCTTGTTATCCTTTTTGTTTTGTTTTCTCTTTTCTTTGACTATAAAATCTCAACTAACTTGAGTTGAGAGACATGAATTGATTTTGGGAACAATTGTTACGAGTAAAAAGTATAAATTAAAATTATTCATGTATAAAACATTATTTGCTATTTCATTTTGTGAATAATATTTTTTTATACTAGTATTAATTTGTGTAATTGTAAATGCATTTTTTAGACAATTACTTTTTTTTTATCTCTATGAAGTTTATTTCTCCTTTAATGTTAGATTTTAAGAAAAAATTATCAATGTATTTGAACTCTAAGTTATATATTCTTCAATCTATTTATTTATTTTCTTAAAAGCTCAAAAGTTTATCATCATACAAAGTTATATTTCTTCAATTTATTTATTCACTTTCTTTTCCTCCATCGTTGACAAGTTTTCAAGGTTATATTTAATAAAATTGATTTTAATTTGACATTTATGTTTTGAAAAAAATTCAAATAAACTTTGATTTGTGTTTTTTGAATTTTTATTTTGTATTAATATGAAAATTCCTTTAGAAATTAATCACTTTCTTTGCAATTTGATTTAATAATATTGGTGGTGTGTGTGGGCATAAAAAATTGTATTTTGTGAATTGTGATTATGGTTTGTGGTCGTCTTTGGTCAGAATGACCATGTCGAACGTGGAAAATGACCAAAAGACTATAGATTTTTTATAATTGATCAACATTTATATTTATTAACTATCTATTATATATATTAAAATTGACACTACAAATAAGAACTCTAATATCTTAACACTTCATCAACTTACTATATAGAAAATAATCCACCTCAGTTTATTTGTTGAGTTAGTTTTGCTTGATTATTTTAACATGTTAGTAAAAAAATTATAACAGTGTCACTCCATCATATTTATTATTGTGATATTTGGATTGAACTTTAGTGTCAACAAGGATGGCTTCATGGTTTGATAAAGGTTTTAGTATGAAGTCGAAGTCTGTTCACATGTTGGTCCTATATGTTGTAGTTGAATTATGCTCAAGCATGCAGTAGTCGAAATGCTAGGACTGTTAACATGTCGAATAGGGTCTTGCTTGTAAGCTCAATTATCAAGTTAACTTAGTAGTTTATAAATAGACTAATTATCTCAGATTGTTGAGAGAGGTTAATTATTATTATTCACTTGTAATCTTTGAACCTTTATTGAGTAAGTGAATAGTAAAACGGTTTTAATCAATTATGATTATTCTTATTCCTTCTTCTCTCTCTTTCGTGAAACCAAATAGAGTTTCTTGTGTTTGTTCAAGAAACTCACTCTTTCTCATATTTTGATATGTTTTTGACGATATCAATTCACAACAAACTGGTGCGGAGAGCTTGAAGGAGAAGATATCGTTAACAAAATATGAGATTGAGAAATTCACTGGTGTGAATGATTTCGGTTTGTGAGGCTTGAAGATGCAAGTCTTACTAGTTCAATGGGGTTTGTTAGAAATGTTGAAAGAATCAGAGAATATGAATGTTGCCCTAATGGAGAAGGAGAAGACGACGATGATCAAGAAAGCCCATAGTGTCATCATATTGATCCTTGGTGATAAGATTCTCCAGCAGATCTCAAAGGAGAAGACAACAGCGGGTGTGTGGAGCAAACTCAAGAGTTTGTATATGACTAAATCTTTGGCCAATTGTAACACCCCAAATTTATTGGAATATTTATTTAATTTATTTAAATATGAATATTCGTATTTTTGGTGATTTTCGGTGGTTGGTGTGAATATTGAGAATTATGGACTTTGAGTTATTTATTTAACTAATAGTATATAATATGAATATATTGATATTATTATTAATTTAAATAAATATAAGTGAATTGAGGGCAAAGTGGACTTTTGAGGAGGAGTTAGTGAAGGTGAAATTGGAAAGCCCATTTTAAGGCCCAAAGTTAGGTTTAACAAAAAGGAATTTTGAGGGAATTAGGATTCATTCTTGTTAGACCGTGAAAACAGAAGAAATTGAGGCCAGAGCTCTGAGGAAGAGGATTGAGGCAAAGTTTCGCGAGGTTTCCAAGAATCAAGGAGAAAGACTTAGAGTCAGCAATGAAGGTATGGGGAGTATTGCCTTCATTGTTTTTAATATGTGATTCAATGTATTTAAAGCCGATTTAAGGATTTAGGAGGTTTTTGAGTTTGAGAAAATTAGGCCTTCGTGGAAAAATTTGTTTTTGAGGTTGTTTAAGTATGGGGATTATTACCTTCATTGTTTTTAATATGTGATTCAATGTATTTAAAGTCGATTTAAGGATTTAGGAGGTTTTAGAGTTTGAGGAAATTAGGCCTTCGTGGCCAAACCTGTTTTTGAGGTTGTTTAAGTATGAAGAGTATTGCCTTCATTGTTTTCAAAATGTGATTCAATGTATTTAAAGGTGATTTAAGGATTTAGGAGATTTTTGAGTTTGAGGAAATTAGGCCTTCGTGGTCAAACCTGTTTTTGAGGTTGTTTAAGTATGGGGATATTACCTTCATTATTTTCAATATGTGATTCAATGTATTTAAAGCCAATTTAAGGATTTAGATATTTTGAGTATTGAATTGTTGTTGCATTTCTGGTGAGTTTAATGAGTTTGAGGGATTTGGACTGATGGTCTGATAGGTTTGAGGCTGGTTTGGGAGTAAGGGAAATTAGGCCTTCGTTGCCAAAACCTATTGTTGAGGTTTTAACCGTATAGGGTAATTGATTATGAGAACTCTAATGAATATGGGGAATTTGTAAGGATTTATGGGAATTGGAGGCGTAAATATGATACGGGATTGGCCTAATAAGTCGTAGATTTTGTGCCTTTATTGTCGTAATACCTTAGGAATGATTTAGGGATGTTTTGGGGGCATTGGGGAAGAAAATCGTAAGGACTTTTGGGTTGGTTTTGCTACTGATGCATAACAGTGTTTTGCTATAATCGTGAGTTCACACAACGAACAATTCTTCGCACGACAAACACTCGCCCCAGACTCGCACGGCAAACTGTCCAGTGAAGGTAGCAGAGTTTTGCGAATTATGTTCTTGTGAAGTGTCTTGATGCTTTGATGTTGTGATTTTATGGATGAATTACCTTGAGTATGGTTGTGATTCATATGTGATTATTACATGATTGTATGATAATTCCTATGAGTAATGATGATGAGTTATGATGTTGATTCCATAAGTTTTTTATGATTATATGATGACATAATTATTATGATGATTTTGATGAAAGATGATGCACCTGATGAGTTTATTATGAGGATGATATTGACATATGCATCATGCGTTCATATGCATTTCGGACTTCGGTCTAGTGTTTGATTCTTGTGGCTTCAGTCCTATTGTGCGAATGTGAAGTATTTTGTTGTGCTTCGGTTATTGTGTAGAATCGATCCTATTGATGGGGATCTATGGAGGGTTGATGGCCCAGTGTCCATCGAACTTTGATAAATTGGTACCACATGCATGAGTCTTGTTGCATTTGCATTTATGTGACAATTTGGTGTAGATTATGATATTATGGCTTTTTGATATTTCGTTGATGATTATGATGATGTTGAATACAAAAATGACGCTATTTCATATATTGATTCCTATATTGATTATTATGAATCGTTTTACTCACCCTTCCTGTTTGAATGTTGCCTCCGCGTGGGTAACGTGCAGATGACCAGGTTTAGTCGTGGATGTCGTCGAGGAGTTTTTGACTTTTGGTTGACTTAGAGGGTCTTGCTTTGATAGTGTAACATGGGGTTGGGGTCTTTGAGTTAAACCATGTTTTATTGATTATTGTTATTTTGATTATGTTGCTGCGCAAAGAAAACTTTGGATTTTGCCTTTTTGAGTTCTGCTGCCTTTTGAGCAATTTTTGAGTAATTTTGGGAAAGTCAGTTGTTTACGGAGCATTGAATTTTATTTGAGTTATTGAGAAATGTACGCCCTTTGAGGTGATTTTTATTGTGTTTAATATTTTACTCTGATAAATGTGATTGATTTGTCATTATATCTGTGGGGTAGAAAAGGGTGTTACATTAGTGGTATTAGAGCAGGTTGGTCCGTCCGACCAAGTTTTTATGTTGTTAGTCCCCTGTCAGTCAATAGTGTGAGAACACTATTGGATGAGTTGTTTTCTTCTGACCCTGTTGTTGGCTGCAGATGGCTGGAAGAAATGATCGTGCTCTTGCAAATGCGCTGGAATCGCTTGCCCAAGTGATGGTCCAGAATGGTGGACCTCCATATGATTTTCGTGCTTTGGGGAAGTTCCAGAGGAACAATCCGCTGACTTTTGTGGGCACTCATGATCCTGATGGTGTGCAGAAGTGGCTAAGAGTGATTGAGAAGATTTTATGGGTTGTGGTGTGCATTGATGCTCAGCAGGTGTAATTTGGTACGCATGTGCTAGCATAGGAAACTGAGGACTGGTGGGATAACACTCGTCAGAGATTGTGAGGTGTTGGTATTATAATAACTTGGATTATGTTTAATGAAGAATTTTTGAGGAAGTATTTTCCTGAAGATGTTCGGGGCAAGAAAGAGGTGGAATTCCTTGAGCTGAAGCAAGGGAATATGACTGTGGTTGAGTATGCGGCAAAGTTTGAGGCTTTAATGAAATTTTGTCTGCA